ATACTGTTAAACAGCTGTTCCCTTGCAATTTATTATTATTACTGCTCCGCTCCTTTATAAAAATAGCGTGATTATTATGTTCCCAGAGTTAAATTTTTATTTTTATTTTAACTAATAACATGTCATTTTGTGCATTAAATTATTTTGTGCATTCAATTACGAAGAAAAATCTTTTAAAATCAATACTGCTTACCTCCTATAATATACGGCGTAATAATATGTAGACTAAAGCCTTCCTTGGTTTACAAAGAACATTTTTGCTAAATTTCAATTCAATCTATCCAGTAGTTTTGGCGTGAAGCCGTACCATACACACAGACAAACAAACAGACAAAAATTCTAAAAAGTCACTTTTTGTCATCAGTTACGTTTTTCTAACAAAAGCCTGAAAATACTCAATGTACAGTTTTTTTTCGTTACTGTTTTATTATATGTATAGATAGAAGATAAAAACCCCTGGGTTGATGTTGATAATAACACCAATAAGGGTGATCGCTACCAAGCTATTTCTAATTTGTCTTGTGTTGTTAATTGTAGAGAGAAAGATTGTAAACTATTATCTGAAAAAAAAAATGGTCCCGCTGGGTTTCTTGCTGGTTCTTCCCAGTACAGAGGCTTTTTGCGAACCAGTGGTAAACGAGAAAAGTGACTTTCAGTAAGTATTGTTTATAATCTACATTGAATAAAAAAGTTTATGTTTCTGTTTCAATAAGTCTAGTCATATTTTCTTTACATTTTTAGACATGTAACAAAGTAATAAAAATAAATAACAAAACGAGAACGAGTATATCGATTGTAGATTGTTGCTAACCCACTAAACGAAACCACTATAGATCAATGGCGTCATGTCTTGTAAGGTAACATTACATAATACTACTACAATAGGGATGTAATTTCTAGTAAACCAGAAGATACGGGTATACTTACTCTCATATTTGGCGTAATATAAAGAGACCAAAGATGACCACTTGACATTTCTATCATTTATTTATTTATTTCAATCAACAAGGATCATAGGGTAAAATTAACGTTTAAATTACACGCAACATCATTCAATAGATTTGTGTATTTTTAACTTATTCAAAAATTTAATTACAAAAATCGAAACAAGTATATTGACTCAATTTATGCAGAATTGCAGGTTCTATCTATGCATACGAATGTATGTACGAGGGTGGATTGAAAAGTACTCGGCCTAACCAAGAAAATAAACACATACTAAATCAGTTATATTTTTATTTTTCTACATAATCACCATCAAGTTCAATACACTTTTGCCACCTCCCCTTCCAAGCATTTAGACCGTTGAAAAAAAATGATTCTTCCTTAGAGTCAAAATATGCGTCTACAGCTGCTTTTACCTCGTCGTTTGTCGAAAATCTTTGACCTCCCAAGTGCTTTTTTAGGTTAGGGAACATAAAGAAGTCTGATGGTGCCAGATCAGGTGAATACGGCGGATGCGGTAACAGTTCAAAGCCACAGTTGTGAATTTCAGCCATTGACTGTACTGACGTGTGAACACGGGCGTTATCTTGATGAAACAGGACTTTTCTTCTGAGCATTCCTCGACGTTTTTCTTTTATTTCCTCTCGTAAACGACGTAGTAAGGTGCAGTAGTAATCAGAGTTTATAGTCTGACCCCTTTCAAGATAATCAGTCATAATCATACCTTTCGAGTCCCAGAATACTGAAGCCATCACCTTATTTGCCGACAAAATCGACTTAGCCTTTTTTAGGGGATGGTGAACCAGGTACTTCTCCACTGTTTTGATTGTTGTTTTGTTTCCGGTGTACAGTAATGAACCAATGTTTCGTCCATAGTAACAAAACGATTCAAAAAATCATCTGCATCGGCTTCAAATAACTCCAAACAGTCGCGTGAAATAGTCAATCGCGTCCTTTTTTGTTCAACTGAAAGCAGTCGCGGAACCCACCTCGCAGACACCTTGTGGAAACCCAACTCGTTGACAATGATGTTTTGAGTTCGTTCATAAGAGATGCCTATAATCTCGGCTATCTCTCTAATTTTTAATCTGCGGTCTCCCATTATTAAATCAAGTACTTTTTTAATATTTTCGTCAGTAGTTGACGTCGAAGGCCTTCCAGGGCGGGGTTCATCTTTCACACTCTCTCTACCACGCTTAAATTCTGCTATCCATTCTTTGACGGATGAATATGACAGAGCACAATCGCCTAATGTACTGACCATGTCATCATGGATGGCTTTTGATGATAGCCCCCTTCTTATGGAGGTACTTAATGACGGCACGCTGCTCGATTTGCTCCATTCGCGGAAATTATTTCCGATTACTTTGTTAATAAATTTATAAAATCACAACTAATTATCGCACACGTTTCGAACTTCACACAATGAACTAGTCTGAACTGAACTAAATAATGTGGGTAGATTTGATTTTTAGAATTGAATGGATCTGTGTTAAGCCGAGTACTTTTCAATCCACCCTCGTTATTACTCCAAGGATACATTGCAACAGTGTCGCTGGGTGATAGCGGATAAAGTTGTTTGACCCATCCTCATGTTGTATGAGGGCCTGTATTTTTAAACAAATCCAAAACAACACAACGTTATTATCGAAATTTTAAATTTAAAAAGAAATAAATAGTGATTTCTGAGAGGGTTTTAGGGCAAGGAAGTGTCCGCCGCGCTTCCCCAATTCGTGTTGGCGAACTTCACATGTTTTCGAATTATTTTTTATTCTTATTTCTCAGACATACAGGTTTCCTCACGATTTTTTCCCTTAATCGCCGAGCACGTGGTAAATCAATTAAACCCTCTCAGAAATGAGGGGAGGCCTGTGCCCAGCAGTGGGACATATATAGGCTGTAACCAAAGACATTTAAATAGGTAGTAATAGACCGGACATCAGTAACAAAATTGTCGTCTGTAACTTTTGTCCTATAGGATATATCTCCGATTTTTGTCATTTAGTCTTAGTGACATCGTCAAAAGGTCAAGACGCACTCATTTTATAAATTTTAAAATATTTTTAAAGAAAATATGCCTGGTTGTACATTAAAGTATTGTAAATCACGATATGGAGCAAAAAAATGAACGTGATTTCGGTTTATTATCGTAAGAATAATGTGTCTTTACCAAATAATCTTTAAATTTTATTATTTATAGTAGATTGTTCGAGTATAAAGAAAAATTATTGCAATAAGTGCCCTCTGTTATCCAGTAACGTCACTATTTATTTACAAATATGTTAGTGATTAACGATGTGCCTACAACGGATTTTACCCTTATATTTAGTAGTGTCACCTACTGGGAAATAGCTAAAATGTTTTAAATAGTGATTAAAAATTACTCTATGAAAGGTCAGGAAAAGCCGTGGTAGCTCAGATGGTTAACACTCGCTGTAAATATAACAGAACGCGAGTAACCCGGGTTCGATCCCCGCCGGCACCAATGAAATTGTTAATTGTAATTTTAAGTGCTGATTTACCAAGTGCTCGGCGGTGGGAGGAAAACATCGTGAGGAAACCTGCATGTCTGAGGATTAAGGAAAAAAAAATATTTCGAAGACATGTGAAGTTCGCCAACACGCATTGGGGCAGCGCGGCGGACACTTCCTTGCCCTAAAACCCTCACAGAAATGGGGGGAGGCCTGTGCCCAGCAGTGGGACATATATAGGCTGTCACTTTACTTTACTTACTTTACTATGAAAGGTAACTGCATTCAAAGAAACTGAACAATTCGGCATTTTTGTAGGACGTTAATTCAACCGCGTAACTAGATTTAGTCTAGTGAGCAGTGCGGCTGCATCTAGTTTTACGCACTTGCCCCACCATCACACAAACGTACAATAGACATAGATCCCGTGTCGAAATAAAAACAGAATAGTAGGCTGTCTTCTAAGAAATAAACCGAACGACGCTAATATGTGCGTACGCACGAGCAATAGCACGCACACAACGACACTTGCTAAGTCGGGAAGTTCGGGCCGAGTCGGGAACGCCTACCGCCGCGCTCTGCAATCACCTGTGTTTGAGACTTTGTTGACTTAACAAATTAATTTTAAACATTAAATCTGAGCTGACACCATAATATGCTCAGTGTTAATTTACTCGTATTTTAGTTATTTGGCATTTGTTGTAATGTAAAGCTGGAATTTTTTGACAAACATTGATTTTTTGAGAGGAAACTAAAGAAATGATTAACAAATATGATGCATAGATACGCATCCGTATGCATTATGTTTGTAAATATTATAACTACTTATAAAACTAAATGAGACTTAGTAGAGACGCTGTTAAACAAAAAGGCAGTGACTACCCTGCAACACTAGGCATTTAAGTCTCGCGCGGCATGGGAGTTGTCCTACTATTCCTGTTTTTAGCTATCAAAGATAAAAGTTGCTTAACGATGCTCGCTTGGCGGGCAGTTTCTGTTACGTGGTAGAGCCACGCTGCGGCTATATTATGGTTGTAGCACGAATGGGTCGGCTCAACCGGAGCAGGACCACGCTCTCACATAATAATCGTAACGCTGTTGTGTTTCGTATGGTGAGTGTAGAGAATCGGAGACCCTATTTATTGGAATCGAGGCATTCCATCTTAGTCCTCAGATGTGACAATGCATTTGCATTTTAATTCATAATTGAGGATAAAATGTCTATGGGCCACAGCATCCACTTACAATCAGGTGGACTGTGTGCTAGTTTGTCACCCATGCTATAAAAAAAACCTCAAGATACTCGTTCATCGTTGGAGGGGGAACAAGTGCCTTATTATCCACATGGACCTATACTTTGGCAGAGGGGAACGCCTGAGTATGGTATACCATGCTCCTCTACGGTCCGTCGGCGGCCCGTGTCGCTCTATTGGCTCTACCACGCGAAAAATATTCACATGTTTTACTTTCGAAATGCCTATCTAGATAGTTGTCATCCCTGAGAAATTTATATTTTCGTCAAACGCTGGGCAAAGCTCGGTCGTACAAGTACTGTGATTTTATTTGTATGGTATTTTTTAACAGAAAGAAAAGTTAAAATCGAAGAGCAACGATACATCAAAACAAGAAAAGTACCGAAAATTTCATCAGGCATTGGAAATTTCGAGCAATGATGATGCTTCAACGGAATAAAAAGTTTTGTTTGAATTTGTTTGAATAAATTTGGACCATGACAATGTTAAAAATAAATCATACAACTGTTTTGCGTACTTTATTGAAAATTATAAACTAGTCACACATTCTATGGCATATTTCAATCTAGCCTCCTTTTCTTAACGAGTGAACCCAACAAATCAGAAATGGCTGGCAAATTGTTGGTTTGGTCGTTAGCTCCCGTATTTAAATTAGACAGGGGTATGTTTAACTGGTTGGATGCGCTCTTTTGCTGTCCCTTCATATTCCTGTGTTGAGGGAAGCTCGGCATCAGCTTCGGATCACAAGCTGTAACAGAAAGGCAATTATTAAATAAAACGCTACTTCGTCTTAGCCATAAAAATTAAGCATGTTTTTTTAATATTCAATGACATAATAGTAAGATTGCCAAAAATTACCAATATTAATTCTAAGTTATTTCAGTACGTTATAAAAGTTTACAGTTTTAATTTTCCCTTAAGCAGTTAAAAGGATATCTTTTAAATGAATCGTCGTTTTGGGAGCGTAGCTTATCCCTTTGTCGGTGAAGCTCACCGACGACTGAGGGAGTCTCCAAATGAAAGTGATGCAATGACCTCCCCCATAAAATGACTCTTAGGAGGGATAGTTGCCTTGCTGGCAGCCGGATAGGCAACTGCAGTTTTCATAATTTTAAGCTGTTTAGAAAGACGCTGCTTTCCACATCAATTCAGTTTCTCTCTGTCACCTCTTACGACAGCCACGGAATGATATTTATGGTTTTTTTATAGGTGACAAACGAGCACACAGTCGCTGTGGCCCATAGACATCTACATATGTCCTCAAATACGAATCGTAAGGACTAAGACGGAATGCCTCGTTTCCAGCAAAATGGGTCTCCCGTTCTCTACACTCACCATACGGAGCACAGTAGTGTTAAGCTAACATTTACGCTAATATTCGTTCTCTTACACCGTCACTACACAGCTAACATGTCTGAATAGATTATGATCGTATATTATATTACTATATTATTATAATTAATGTGTACTTCGTTACTGGCACAGAAATCTCAATAATAAGGCAATAGAAGTCATAAAAGCGCGTGACATTGTCGCCGCACATGTGACTCGTAGGCCACAAGCGCGCTTGGAGCGTTTGTTTCGGTCACCAGCGTTATTTCGGAATTCGGATTGAACAACTTTTGTTGCAACTAAGATTGGTTAGCAAACAAATAAGTAATTTTTATGTTATATTCGATAGCTAGAGCCTTTTCTTATTCATTCAATCGTGTTTTTTTATTGTAGGCAAGAAATGTAGTACTGCTTACCAAAAATGTGTTAGTACATGCAACACAAAATTGGTCTCCTGACAGGAATAAACAAGTTTCTTACTCTCGCATTGATAAAAGTGATGACGACAATTCTATTGAAATAGTAAGTAGATAGTCATTTATAATTTACATGTGTGTGAATTAATACTTTATCTTATGCATCTTAAAGATTTTAGATAACCGTTCGATGCCCATTGAGTCTGAATTTAGAACTGATGATATTAAAATAGAATTGGAAGAAATAGCAAGCTCATCTTTAGATAATATTATGAAGAAGAATTCGTTTGAAAAAACAGCTACTTCCCACTCAGTAAAAACCACAAGACCAACACAAGTCCAAGTAGGTTTATTAGGATAATTAGGGTAGTTTTGATCTCCAGCCTACAAGAATGTAATGTTTAATGTACTTTCAGCTCGATATACCTAGCTCCCAGAATCAAAAGAACAATGAAGACAGGACACCAGAAAATATTGATGAACATCTGGATGATACTATTTTACCCCAAATTGTTTGAGAAAATTCTAATCAAGAGTAAGTACTTCAGTTTAAAAACCAAATTTTATTTTTGCAATGTTATACTCTATGGTATTTATTATGAGTTTAATACTTTCTTTTTTAGAGTAAAATTATTTAAAACAATGAAATTGAACCAGGATCATCAGATTTTTCTGCAGAAAAATCAAGAGATGTTTTACGAGATAATACAGAATGTGATGAGATGGTAGGTTTTTTGATTTTTTATTTAACTTATTTTCTAAGATTGTTCTGTGATTACTTACGTAAAAATTATTGTTAAGGAATACCGACAAAACAAAAATTGTTGTTAGTACTTATAAAACAGTTTTTTTTTTACTTTTTTACAGGGTCAGGATTTTAGCTCTGGCTCTGATGATGAATGGCAACCTGTCAGTCATGATTTGATAACATCTATTGAAAGAGGATACTAATGAAAAACAAAATTTTGAAGAGAAGAAGACTATCCATCAAAGTAAAGCTGAATCACATTATAATTCGAAAAGAGAGGACAAGGAATTGAGTAAGCAAAGTGATGGAAAAATTCGATCTACAAAAATGTTTAGCGACTCCTTATCTATCAGCTGGAATATCGTTTTATAAAAGGAAGCTATGGACTTTTAATTTAACTGTACGTAACATCACAGAAAAACGAACGCACTGTTTTGTTTGGTACGAAAGTATCGCACAAAGAGGTGCGGATGAGATTGCATCATGTTTGTTTCGATTTATTATGGAGCTACCAGATACTGTAGAGCAGATAATCTTCTACTCAGATACCTGCCCAGGACAAAACAGAAATAATATTTTACCATTAATGTTTTCATTAGCTGTCAATCAAAAAACCAGTTTAAATGAAATCCATCACAAATTTTTAGTGCCCGGACATACGCATTTGGAATGCGACAGCGATCATGCAGCGATAAAAAGATTTATAAAACATCATAGAGTTTCAATTTCTGTTCCAAAAGATAGGGCAAACATTATCCAAATGACTAGTCGCAGATACACAGTCCAAATGATGACACAAGAAGAGTTTTTAGGATTTTCCCAACTTTTCAAAACAATGTTTATGAAAAGAAACATTGATACCGCGATAAAAATCCTTTTATTTGGAACAATATTTTTTGGATAATGTGTTCTAAAGACTCTAATGATGTGGCGTTCAAAGAGTCTTTAGATTCAAGTGAACCTTTTAGATACTACTCATTTGTTAAAAGGGGACGGGTATCATCGGTTGCTACTTTGAGCATACCAAGAGCATATTCGAGTCCTTTACCTATATGCTCAATAAAGTACCACGGTATTATAAGTTTGCTACCTTTTATAGATCGTGTTTATCATAATTTTTATAAAAATTTGAAAACCTCAAACACGAATCCTGACTCTGTAAGCGACAGTGACGAAAATTACGAATAAATTATAACACTTATGTTCTACTAACTTTTGATTTCAATATGTTAACTCCATTGTTATCGATTTAATTAGTTAATGTTAATTTGGTTAAAAAATGATAAGTGCCATTTAAAATGAAACGGCTGTGTTTTTAGTTTTAGTTAATATATTTAAAAAAAACCTGATTAATAAATAGTTACTGCAGCAGTGGTTAGCTTTTTCTACTTTACCTAACTGATTTATAAATTAAACTTGAACCTTAAAAGTCTTATACTGAAAAATTACGTTTTTGGACTTAACAGGTTTCTCCCAGACACCACAGATTTATTTGTATGCTGTTTGTATAACGTTGTATTCATTTTATTTATACATATAATTATTATATAGAACTGATCAAATGAAGGACTCATTTTTGGTCCAAACATCGTTGAAGACTGAACTTTCTGAATAATATAACTGTGAAAATAGGAATAAATCTTATAAACTCACAACTCATGTACTTCAAAGAGCACTTTAAAAAAGAACGGCATAGTTCAAACGTTTTAATAACTCACACCTTGATAGCCTAGATAAAATCCTTGCATTGGACATATAATGTTACTTTATTTATTGAAAACAACAGTACCTACAAATGATTGAAGAAATTGACTAGTGGAAGAACTTTCCACAAGCCTTTTGCATTTTACTAAAAGTACTTATCTAAGCAGCAGCATGTAAGTTAGATATTGTACTGATTATTATTACGATGCGTAGCGCAAACCGGCGATATGCATGAGGCAGTGAGAAAAAAAAACAAGTAAACATGATAGATATCTGCATCTTGACATGCCATCACATTATGCGCAAAGCAAACTTTGATGTTGCCTATTTAGTTCAAGTTTGGTGGGAAAATATGTAAAGCAAAAGTATTTTAATGTATGATCAGAAAAATACCCCTATGTGCGGCGTTTGCGCGTGATGATTTATAGTATTTTAAAAATAATCATATAAAATAATTGACCACATAAAACGACCTAATATTTTTTTTGATATTTAACATTAACTGTATTTTGATAAATAAAATAGATAAGTTTATATCCCAATACACGGAAAAAAATGACCTTGACGTGGACAGTTTCGGTGATTTTAGTATAGAGTATTGTTTTTTAATATTCAATCGAAATATTTTCGTAATTTAAGCTTTGCTATACACTTAAAGACTACATATTCTATTATAATAATGTTTAAAATTAAGTATTTTAGCTTATAATCATGGTTGTATTCCACCTGAAAGATAGCATATTTTCGTAAAACGCTATGAAGGGATTGTCTTCAGTTTAAAATACTGTTATTAAAAACTATGATTTTCCGCTGCAATATACTAAATAAAAACTTTATCTTTCTAAATCCGTAGTTATCTTCAAATGAAAACATGAAGTTTTCGACGCAAATAGCATATGCCCTAAGCGGGCATATGCTATTTGCGTATATAAAATAAACAATGCTATTATTCCATGTTTCCAAAAGATCCGAATATTAAGGTAAATGGATATAGTTATCCTAAACGTTTTTTATATCCTCTTCTCTAGGTATAAAAGCGTCTATTACTGAATCATTTTTTGAGAGTTACGGTTTAATCGGTAATACGGTTCACACTTGAGAGTTACGGTTTAATCTTTGTTGCATGAATGCTAGAGATATGTGTAGGCGAAATTGTGTATTTATTGCTTATTGTTTGTCTATGTGTGTTAGCTGCGAACCGGCGACACGCGTCCCGATATTAAAAGACAGTAGAAGACA